ACTACCAGGAGTGACTAGAAATAATGGTCACAAGCTGGCAGGGGGTAAATTCAGATTAGATATCAGGAGGTGCTACTTCACTGTCAGGGCGGCTAGGATCGGGAACCAACTTCCAAGCGAAGTGGTGCTGGCTCCTACCCTGGGGGTCTTTAAGACAAGGCTTGACAATCACATTGCTGGGGTCGTTTGACCCCAGTACTCTTTCCTGCCATGGCAGGGGGTTGGACTTGATGTTCTGCTCAGGTCCCTTCTGACCTTACCAACTATGAAACTATGAAAGCCTATTTGTGTGTTGCTTGGTGGTTCCTTTTCTCTTTCTGCCATAAGTTCTTGGAGATAAAAAGAGAAACAGTTGCACATCTTAGTATAGAAATGTCATTGATGCTAGGCTGTGTTATGTGGTGCCATGGCTGTAGATTGTTTCCTTGTGCTCTCATCTGTCCTTCCATCCATCCTTAGTCTCTTATCTTGTGAACTGTCTGGGATAGGGTTAGTCTTTTTATTGTATTTGTATAGTGTCTATTACAGTGGAGTCTTGATCCATGACTATTGCCCATTAGTGCTATAGTAATATAAATAACAATATCAACTTGTCATGGTAAATATTAAGTAATTCATTCATTAATATAATTTACAGCTGCCCTTCCCAGCAAAGTCTAAGGATAGCTTACTGCTCTAAGCACTCTAAAACAGGGGTTGGCAACACTTAGCAGCAAGGGAGTAGGGGATGCTTGAATGGAGCTCAGCTCTGAGCATGAACTGCTTTCAGTATGGCCCATGCTGGAGCCAAAGCCACTGCTCCTCTCCTGCAGTGCTGCTGCTTCTCCCTGCCACTCAGGTGAAGCCCTGTGCTGCTGAAAAGCTGCAGGAGCACTCTGGCTGAACAGGCCAGGTAAAATGGCTCCATAGGTTGTTGTTCCCTGCTCTCAAAGCTAGGATAGATGACTGGTGTTTTTAGAGCCAAAGTGAAACATAAATACAGGGGGCAGTGAACAAAGTCTCTCTCTGAAACTAGTAT